AGGTACCAATCCTTATATATTAATTGTAAACAAAATATTTATAATCAAAATATAAGTTGAGCGTATTTAAAAGAGGAGTGGAGGTGGCTGAGGGGCTTGAAAAGGTGCACAAGTCAATTGACAAGTCAGTGGATGATTTAGTATTGATGGGAAAGGCATTTAGATGAGTTCGATTTGTTACAAAGATGGGTGGGGTGGGGTGGGTTGAACTTTGTTTTTTTAATATGTTTTTAAATTTTTTTAGTTAAGACTATTTTCATTTTTTGAAAAGATTTGGGATTCTACCTACAATCATTATTAGCCCCTGTATGAGCCACATTCTCATTATTCTACTCATTTTTAAACACATATTTTTCAATAAAATAATATTTTCCATCACATCAATAACTCTTCCTTCTTTTTCAACCACATATTCACCATCACATTACAAAAAAAAATGCATTCTCTCCTAAAAAATATGCATCAAACAAGGGCTTAATTTTTTTCTTTTTGTTTATTTAAAAATGAGGGTAAATTCATCATTGTACAAGGTTTTATGACAATAAAGGAATAAAAGATCGTGTTCCGCAAAGTTTGAGCGATTTAGGGAAATTTGCACCAAAATGAGAGGTTAGAATCTATTGTACAAAACATGTAAACACTAGGGAGTATATTGCCAATTACACTTGAGACATTTAGAAGGTCTTAAATTAGTACCTTAGAACTTTTGAAGACTTTTAAAAAGTCTATACTGAATATTTCAAAACTTTTATAAAGTCTTCAGAAAAAATTGATTGAATACACCTAAATTTAAAATCTATAAAAGTTTTTAGAAGTCTAGATTGAATACATATTTTAAATTAGTAGATTTTTACCAACTTTCTAAGAGGCTTAAGTGGGCAGACGGTAATGTCAAGTTTCAATTCATTCACATCCAGATCATAAATGTTTGTAATTCATATTATGCAAGAAGACATTGCTTTTACTAATTCGAATTGGGTCTATGCATAAATATTTTTTTTTTAATTATGCAAGGCCCTAAAATAATTGAAATAGGGATAACTGCAATCATAGTCCCAAATCTTTTATATTTTGCATCTTTAGCCGAAACTTTTATTTGTTACACCCACAGTCACAAACCTTTTATTTATGTGGAGTTGAAGGATATACGGATATGATCGTTAGTTGACCAAAAAATGGACTTTGACCATATTTTAATCAATTATTAAAAAAATACTACACGTCTTTGAAGGGAAGAATGTGTAGGAAAATTGTTTCAATATTTGATACCGGATTCGCAGTAGCAGATTCAAAAACCTTGAAAACAATGGATTCAAATATACACAACAGATTTAATACAGCAGCAGATTCGACAATATGTTAGATCGCAGTAAAGTGTAACAGTAGATTTACGCAGAACGAGAAACACAAATTTGCATAAACGAGTGACAAACAAAAAAACGCAGAAGTTAACTGACAGGAAACTTTTACCCCGAGGCCTAAGT